CAGGAGAAGCAAGATGTAAAAGTACCTACCGGTAAGCCTCGGCCATGTGGCAACTTATTAGATTAATAAAAATGGGTTGAGTTATAAGAGCGAGCAAGCAAGAAGCCTGCCATAGGCCATGCAATTGGTAATTAATACTGAGCCTCTGAATGATTATTTTATAAAGGGGCTGAGGGACCGTGTGGCTGGGTGGTACTGGAGAAATCTGGCTACACAAGACTGCATATAAAAACACCAATTTGAATATAACCAACATTGTTGTGTGTGTGACACGCATTGAATTCTTTACTTGATGACATTTCTTAATGGTCGTTTCCTAAAGCGTAATTACATTAAAATATGGTTAAGGTACTTCCCAGCATGCATCAGTTCCTTCCCTTTGCTGCTCAGAAATGTTGCAGCAAATGAAACAGACCCTATTGACTACATCCAACAGACAAGGGCTGGAAAGAAACAAAACCTACTCTGGAACCAGCCATTCAGATTGGACAGACTAATGCTAACTATGGCTGTAGTTCACGCGACTGGTACACACTACACAGCCCATACTCTGCTAAATGGAAGAGTGAGCAGATGCCCACTTAAACGTCTGCTTGAAATGCGTGTGAAAATTTAATCCAAAATAGACCAATGTATCACCATTTGATTTGGGATCAGGGTGAAGACATAACTTTAACAATGTTAGGAAATACAGCTAAGCAAAATAAATAAATAAATAAATAAATAAATAAATAAAATAAAAAAATTTAAAAAAGGCCTAGGCAGTAGGATCATGACTTTGAAGCTTGTCTGGATAACAGAATGAGTCTCAAGCCAGAAGCCAGGCTGGGCTATAAAAGGAGCAATATGGGCTCAGGTTTTCTCAAATAATAGTTATTATTTATTTATTTATTTTTTATTTATTTGGGTTTTTCGAGACAGGGTTTCTTTGTGCCTTTCCTGGAACTCACTTGGTAGACCAGGCTGGCCTCGAACTCACAAAGATCCGCCTGCCTCTGCCTCCCAAGTGCTGGGATTAAAGGCGTGCACCACCACCGCCCAGCGGTTCTTATTATTTTTACATTTAGTGTGAGTGTGTGTGTGTGTGTGTGTGTGTGTGTGTGTGTGTGTGTGTGTGACACATTAAACATACAGAAGTCAGAGGACAACTCGTGGGAGTTGGGGTCTCCCTCCACCACGGGGGTCTGGAGTTGGAAGCCTGGGGCTTGCCAGAGTTGGGAGGAGGAGCTTTTCCCAGGTGGGCCATCCCAGACCCCGCCCGGTTCAAGCAGAGAATGATGGTGTCGCCCTCTACATATCAGAGAGCAAGTGAGCAGCATGGGGGGTATGCCTTTGGCAGGGGCTGACCAAAAAAACGATTGCACACATTAAGGTTCTTGTAGCAGGAATCTTCAAAGTTCTTCTTAATAAAATCAAACCCGGTGCCAGTTATTGGGGTGAGCGCTGGAAGATCAGAGAAGCAGAACAAGCCACAGCCACCTCACCTTGCCAATTCCTCAGCTGATCCTGTTTCCTCAGACTGGAAGCCTCTGAGTCCGCATCCAAATGGATCTCAGCTGAACTGCTTCTTGAAAGCCTGAAAGCTTAACCAGCTTTAGTTCCTGGTCCTCACGCCTTATATACCTTTCTGCTTTCTGACATCACACCCTGGGATTAAAGGCGTGTGTCACAATACCTGGCTGTTTCCAGTGTGGCTTTGAACTCACAGAGATCCAGGTGGATCTCTGCCTCTGGAATGCGAGGATTAAAGGCATGTGCTACCACTGCCTAACCTCTATGTTTAATATTATGGCTGTTCTGTTCTCTGACCCCAGATAAGTTAATTAGGATGCACAATATTTTGGGAACACAATATCACCACAGGTTGTTGTCTTCAGTTTAATGGAACACAACAGCATCACATCATATTGAGGTATGCATTGTAAGTTAAAATTCTTATCCATAGGATGACCTGTGGAATGCACACAGAGCTCCGTGGTGGTCCAGCACTTAACCTCGAATCTGTGAGGTTCTGAGTTCAATTCTCAGTACCACAAAGAATAACAGTAACTATAATTTAATGATTAAAATGGGATGCTCTTTAGTTCCAGGATAAAAGAAGTCAGTCTTTGCTGGTGCACACTGGGATCAGTTCAGATGCAGATGTGGGTGTTTGACATTAATTTTAACTTAGAGCTTGGGTCCTTAAAATGTTCTTTTGCATTTTACATCTCTCCTCTAATGCAAAGCTGGTGTACCTGGGTTCATATAGTCCAATGAGAATGCATGTGTAAATCCTGGAGGAAATTGATAAAAACCATGACTAACTATTAATAAGTAAGTGTCACCTTTACTTGTTAAGTATCTGTAACTTATGAAGAGTCACTGGCTCCAAGTCTGCCTAGGAGTGGGAGCAGGGAGGGGACCCTGCCACTGTGCAAGGGGAAGTTATTCCAAGGACTTCGTTCAAGGTCTTTGTTATTTTGTCTTGTATTGTTTGACATGCCGGTGCATTTCCTACACTGATTTGTGCAGTTTTCAAACACAGAAGAAAAAAAAAAAAATGGACTCAAATGTTTACATTTTAGTTTCCAATTTGAAAAATCCACATTACTCCAGAAAACACAGACCACATATAGGTTTTTCTTTTCCCCTGTTTTTCTTTTTTTTTTTTTTCTTTTTTCGAGACAGGGTTTCTCTGTGTAGCTTTGCGCCTTTTCCTGGAACTTACTTGGTAGCCCAGGCTGGCCTCGAACTCACAGAGATCTTCCTGGCTCTGCCTCCCGAGTGCTGGGATTAAAGGCATGCGCCACCACCGCCTGGCAGCCCCTATTTTTTTAAATCTTAAGAATGCATTGCTTCTATAGCTATTTAATTTTTAAAAATTACAGTGGGGTAAAAGGACTACATTACTTCATGTATCTGGCTGGTGTTTAATCCCTACATCTGAAACTACTTGACCAAGGGTAACAGTGCCAGTTATTATTGACTACCTGTCTCAGATTACGGGAAGACACACAGCCACCTCCTTTCCCTTCTAATGCAAGCGCGCCACAGCAAAACCACCAGGAAGTCGGGAATGAAGGAGATTCTCATAGCGATCAGTTCTTGTCAGCATCAGGAAGGCCCCACCCTGCTCATTTTGGGGGAATAGTAAAGTCACTACTCTGTAGAGAGCCCACGCTACCACCCGCTCACCATGTCTGAAAACAGAGAAGATAGAGCAGGTCATTCGTCTCAGGAGAATGCCAAAAATCTATCAGGATGTTGGGCATGCTTTATTTTACTACGCCACAAATCACCAGATGCTAATGAGAAATACTAACAGAACTAAACTTCACAAATATTTGTACTTTACAGACATCAGTCAAGGCTTCTAGATTGCTCTACATATACTTAAGTTATCTGTTAAAAATTCCCGTGAACATTTGTTCTTTTTTTTTTTTTTTTTTAAACAGGGAACTCTAGCCTGGGCTGGCTTTGAACTCACAATCTTACTGGTTCTCATTCTGAGTTACGGCATTGCAGGTATGAATCACCGTGCCTGGTTCTAAATCCCAATTTATTCATGAGCAAAAACTGCTATTAATCTTGTTTAACATTTTTATAAAAGTCTCATTTTAAAGGAGAATTGTAGTAGATGCTATGTCTTTTTCAGCAGTGTGTAAAAGTCTGTCTGTGAAATAGATACATATTTTAAGAAGTTGGGGGCAAAGGCTCCAATGAAATGCTCTGCCTAACTGCCAGGCTCCTGTAGTTCTGCCTAAGTAAGTGCACCTGCTGATATTATGTTAAAAACAAACAAACAAACAAACAAAAAAAGGTGCTGAAAATACTCCACATTGACTGAACGGTAAAAACTTCAAAAACAGCTCAGTTTTTAAAAACTTTCATAGCTGATGTAATCTTTAAAAAGTTAAATTAGCCGGGCGGTGGTGGCGCCCACCTTTAATCCCAGCACTCGAGAAGCAGAGGCAGGCGGATCTCTGTGAGTTCGAGGCCAGCCTGGTCTACACAGTGAGTCCCAGGACAGGCACCAAAAACTGCACAGAGAAACCCTGTCTCGAAAACACAAAAAAACAAAAACCACAACAAAAAAAGTAAAACTAAATGTGCCTTTATGCACAAATTAAAAAGGAAATTCAAACTATCGTATTGAAAATCAATATACTAATGTATTTTAGGGTTGGATATTGACGGCATCTTTACAACATCTAAAGGTAAACAAGGACTAAGGCAACGAAGATCTTGCTGCCATAGACCTAATGATGACCAAAGAGATGAGTGCCTCACAGCCAAAGGGGTGACAGAGCCTGGCACAGTACCTCCATATGTGGACAGCGGGTCACTGCTGGGGAGGCCGGTGAACTGCTAAGGTAAAGGGGCAAATGCAGGACAGTAAGTCCCAGCTCCAGTAACTTCAATGGGAAACACAGACGGGAAGATACAGCAGCTGCCAGCTCTATCGTTAAGTGACTCAGAACCAGCGGGTGAGCAGCTGCAGAAATTCTTCAAACCAAGGTCTAAACTACGCCTCTCCAGGAGCTACCGCAGGGGGCTCTTGTTTTTGTTTCTCAGGTGGTTCCGATGAATGGCCGATCCCGAACTTCTGAAGTGAGGAGTTGGGGAGACACTTGTGGGATGCAGAGATTTCTGGAAGATAGCCCTTATATGGACCACTACTCCTTCCTGTCCTCCCCCCAATTGTCTTATCTCCCCCGTTTTTCCAACATCGGCTACATGAATGGATTTGGTAAGTAGAGGGGAAAAAAAGCTGGCAGGGAACCCAAGAGGATTTTACTATGTCCAAGGTCTGAACGCTGATGAACAGGCTGTCTTCCTGAAACTCACCCACCCAGTCGCTCAGTAGCAGAGTGCCTGCCAGGTTCAGTCCCCAGAACCATTAAAAAGAGGGAAGAAAAAGGGAAAGAGATTCAACTATGAAGCGTCCATGTGTTAAGGGCGGGGGAGGGCTCTTAATACGAAAACACAACACACAACAAACCCAAATACTAAGGATATTTAACAGAAGACAACTTTATTTTATGAATCTTCAAATATGATCGCTTTCCAATTTTCAGTGTTAGGGAGCAGTAGCCTTGGGATATGGGACTATTCTCTCATGAGGAAAAATACATCCCAATGCTTCTCCAATTCAGGGATCAGCAGAGCTATTCTGCATCATATGTATATATGCTTTCATATGTTAACAAATGTATAAATATTTTAAGTGTGGAAAAAATATTTTGTCTCTGACTTTGAAGCACATGATTATTAAAAGCATCAATTTTCTTCTTCAACACTGAAATTGTATACAACTTGAGGCCTGAAGAATAAACAACTTTTTAAATATTCCATATTTACTAATAAACCCTAGAGCAGTTAAAAACAACAAAAAACGATACGATAGTACCTACATAAGAAACTATACATTGACTGTTTTTCAGAAGTAATTGAAATTTTTCAATATTCAAACACAACATAGTAACTTTTCACTTACTATAACACAGTTCAAGTATTCTCTTAAGTTTATATTTAGCCAACTAGAACATATTAAGTGACTTTGTAAAATAGCTTTCCTTTCAAAGATTATTGCTATACAAAATAGTGTGTCTATTACTACTCAAAATCATTAGAGCATGTGGAAGGTACGGGTGACAGGAGCCAGGTCTTTATGAGTAACTACCAACACACAGAAGGCCGCACGCATGAGTAATAAGGCATCTGTGGGCAACTCCCCCAAGTATTTGAATTCATGTAAACAAAGACTATGCATATTCCTTTAGGGAGAATATGTACTAACATAGATAAAATATATGCAAATGGCTGTTACTCTGAACCATATATTATTGGGATATCACACAAAACCAAGAGGCATTACCTATTATTGTAATAACTAAAAATGTCACTAAGTTGTGAAATACAAGGTTGATGCTTTGTAAAACTAACAATGAAAAAAAGAGTAATTTCGAAAACCAATATCCATCTGGTGTCTAGAAATAAATATACAGTTATCTGAACGTATTGCATCACAGGAACATCTTCTTTGCCTTAGCCGCGACATTCAATCAGTAGTTTAAAGACAGGTTTTCCACACCGAGCCTTGGGTCTTCTACCTTGTCAGCTGTCCAACAACTTTCAAAAGAGTTTTATTTTCCTGCTTTAGCTGTTCATTTTCATCTTCTATGTCATCTAGGTCCTGGGGGGTGGGGTGGGGTGGGGTGGAGAGAAAGGAACACTTTAAAAATACTGAAAAATATTCTAAAGGGGAGTTGAAATAAAAATAAAACACAAAGATAACCCATTGACTCAATTAATTTTGAAGTAGTAAGTTCTAAAAAATTACATGGGATATGCCCTAACATTACTTGAATGGGCCAATTCTTCTGGAACACTCAGTGTTTCAAAAGTAGCCAGAAGTCAAGGTATTAAGATTGTGAATCTAGACAGAGAGAGAGAGAGAGAGAGAGAGAGAGAGAGAGAGAGAGAGAGAGAGAGAGAGAGAATGCGTTCCGTGTTAGAATTCTAGCCACAAATCCATGGCCATGTGGTCAGTACTAAAACCACAGTAAGTTGTAGTTATGAGAACTATCACTTGAAGGAAGTCATGTAAAGACTAATCTTTGCAGTTTATAACATTAAAACTTGACAAAGCACTGCTGTGAACTTACACTTTGCTGTTGGACTATCAGGCAGATGACCAAAACATTAGCAAAGTCAGAATCTGCACTTGTTCACAGACAGAATAATGCCAAGAAATAAGTCTGTTCAGACTATTAAAAAACATGAGGTTTTAAAATTACTACAACCGAGACCTGCCTAAATTTAAAATTAAATGCTATAATACATTCATGCATCATTACCAAACTATACACGTGAAAAGGGTTCCTAGAATTGAAACGGTTCAAACACACTCACAAATTGTGACTAGTTTATCGACTTAGTAAGGGGGATTTTCTGATTCTCTTTAATGCTCTTGGTGTCTGAGACGGCACATCATGGGCATCCCAAATATTTGCCGAGGCTCTTGAACGGAATTCCAGCGCAAATAAAGACAAGCTCCGAGTAGCATCGAGATGAAAGACGACATAAGCCCCAAGTCAAACACTGCCTCGGCCCAAGGACGGCGTGCAACCTGGAGCAAGTTAACTGGGGTGCCCCCCCCCTCACCTACAACCTGCAATCATGGCCTCTGAGCTGCCTTAGAAAAAGCTGGCACTGGAGCCCCCTCCCTGGCTGTGGCACATGGGATCAACCCATGGCATTGCCCAACCTCGCCAGGCAAGCACTGGACCGTTTAATTACTTTGTGGTTAGGAGTTGAGACTGGATTAGGGGACCGAGCCTTTTCTCTCCGAAGCCAACGTTGCTTTCTTCCATAAAACCCTCTAAAAAGGCAGAGCAATGGGAACTCTTCCCATCACCTCATAGATGCTCTGGCTTCGGAGGAAGGACATTCTAGGGCTGAACTCAAAAAGGAGGGGCTCCGAACCCAACACTGTAGAGCGTGGGACCTCAACCCGGATCTGGGAAAACTCCTAAGTGCGTCACCCGAAGAATCGGTGAGAATCCACAGCTTATGGAGTGAACCGGTAAGTCTCAGCACTCATGACTAGCTCATTAACCAAAGAACAAACCGTACCTGGATAGGAAGGGGTTCTTCACCCTTCCATGCTTTCATCCAATCACTCAAAAAACAAACAAACACACACACACACACACACACACACACACACGCACACGCACACGCACACGCACACACAAACAAACACACAAACACACAAACAAAACACCCTGGAATTGAAATGCAAAGCTACTTACCCTATTTAACAAATCAATCTCTTCCTTGAGTTTCCCGATCATTTCTTCTTTATCTTGCATCAGTCTCAGGAGTCGGAGGTTTTCTTGCCTTTCTCTCACTACTTCCTGGTGAGTAAAAATCACAGAGCATTAACCAAACGGGAATGGGTTGCTCACAGTATTTTAACATGGCCAACACCCATCAGTAACGGTGGAAGACTGCAAACATCGGCCACGCCCCTTTCGGCCACAGGTGGACACTGACGATGGGGCTGGGACAATGCCACCTCCCCCCTTGGTCAAGGAAGAAGGGCATCTGCATACTTTGCAAAAGAACACTATTGAAAACATTTGGGAATTAAAGAGGGAAAGCTGTGCTTGCGGCTACAGTTTTCCTTTCCAAGAGATTCTATTCTCGGGGCATGGCGGACCACACTTAATCTCTACATTTGGGAGTCTGAGGCAGGAGGTGAACTCGAGCTTGGGAGTTCAAAGCTAACCGGAGCTAACCCAGTAACAATGGTGGAGGGGGAGGAAGAGGCGCCATGTTCTTTAGTGGTGCAGTCAATGACAAGACGCCTGCTGTGAGCTTATAAACAACCCCAAAGCAACTCACCGGGACCCACACACACACAGAGTCGAGGCTGGTTGGGAAAAGGATTAATGAGAGTGGGGGAGGGGGAGATGAGGATGCATGTGACCAACACACATCATGTACGTATGTGAAATGTCATCATGAAACCTGTGAGTAAAAATAATATAGTCTAATAAGAGAGAAACATCTAGGAGATTAAGAACGCACACCCCTGGGCATGCTTATACGGAACAAAAAAGGAGGAGAAGCGGATGCGGAAGCAAGGGCTCGCTCCTCGGGCTTCCTGACAGCCAGGAGGGGAGCATCTCTGTTCCACTCCGCCCTTGCTTCCAAGACCAGAAACAACAGGGCCAGCTGATCACGGGGGCTGTAATTCTAAAACCATGAGCCGCGGGAAATCTCCAGAAGAAATAAACAACAACCATAAACCTCTACAGAGCACCTCACTCCAAGAACAGAGCTGGGAAACACTGTGGTAAGTGACACGATCCAGTCACAAAGACAAAAACTGCATGCTTGCCAGGCGGTGGTGGCGCACGCCTTTAATCCCAGCACTCGGGGAGGCAGAGGCAGGTGGATCTCTGTGAGTTGGAGGCCAGCCTGGTCTCCAAAGCGAGATCCAGGAAAGGCACAAAGCTACACAGAGAACCCTGTCTTGAAAAAACAAAACAACAACAACAACAACAACAACAACAAAAAAAAAAAACCCCACGTTCTTCCTCATTCGTAGACCCCATCTCTTAATGTATGGAAACGGGTGTGTGAGCGTTGGTATAGGTTATGAAGATACCATAGACCACTAGAGAGAGAGCCAAGAGGTGTTAAAAAAAAAGTGGGGGCAGGTGACTTATGAGAAGAAAGAAAAGATACTGTGCAAGGAGGGGGTATAAGAGAGGAAGGGAGAATGACTGAAAAATGCCTTATGAAACATGATACTTTGTAAGCTAATGAAAATGCTTTCTAATTAAAGAAAAACAGAAGAAAGAAATCTTTATTGAAAGGTTTTTGAATTCAGGACCTCAAGCCAGGTGTTTTTATATACCCGTGATCCTAGCGCTTGGGGGGTGAAGCCTGGTAGATGGGGACCAAGAACATCTTCCGCTTAACTGAGCTGCAGGAGACCCTGTCTCAGTAAACCACAAACAAAGGGCTCCAGGGCCTCTGAGCAGAGCTGGAAAGGTCTCAGAGAAAGCAGCCAACTACCCAGAGCCATTAAAGGCTGCCAGATGCCGGCAACTAAGCTCAGTTCTTCTGCAGCCTCCTTTCAGAGGAACGTGTTAGAAACTAATAACGCGTGCTCTCTAAACCTTTAATTTAAATACTGATTCAATCAGAAATGGGTTCAAGCTTAAATGCAGCCTAAAAAATAACCCCTGTGTCCGCAGGAAATTAAAATAAGTTAACCTCAAAATCGCCTTTGCGTCACAGGGCATAGCTTCCATTCATTAAAACAAAACACATTTCAACCGATTAGTTCAACACCATTATCGACTGCAGATCCACGTCTGTGGGACGGACGTGAGATTCTGCAGCTCCTAACTTTATGGCGATGCTCATCCAAATGGCTGTCAAGACATCTGTAAGCAAGTTTATCTTATTCCTACATAAAAAAAAACGGTTCAGCCACCAAATACAGACCTAACTCAGAATCACCCAAAGGCCTAGATTAACAATCCGTTCAGATGACGTAGGACACGGAAGTACAGACCACAGAGCAGACATCTCAGCTCTCAGAAACTCTGCTCCTGGCACTACGTGGCTCGGCAGGACAGGAATGGCTACGGACTGAGGAGTTCAAGGAGTCCAGGTGTCTCCCGCCAGTGTCCCACCCCTTCTTTTGTGGGGGGGCATAATGCCATGAAACCAAGAGAAGGATGCTAGGACGCGTTGATTTTGTTTTGAATTAATTTCTAACCCATACCTTTTCGAGATCTTCAATTCTCTTTTCCAATGTGCTACTCGAGGCGAAACTCCCTGCTGCGTTTGTGTCTCGGTTGTGTCGACCGAACCCGCTTCTGTCTGCTCTGGGATATCTACTTGAGACATCATCTTCGGGGGCCGTGGTTGCGCTGTGGAAATCAAAGTATTTCATAAACATCGCTAGCCGTCTGGAAGAAAAAATGCAAAGGCCACTTCAGCCCGAACAATCAGCACTCCCGGAGGACACACCGTTAGAACTTACATTAATTCTCATTCTAACATGACGTGTGTGTGTGTGTGTGTGTGTGTGTGTGTGTGTGTGTGTGTGTGTGTATAAAAAGCACATTCATTCTTTTGCCGAATGCCCAAGCGGCTGTGAGTGTCAGGCGCTGTTCTAGGCACCGAAGATGTCTATAGCAATCACAAAACATGGGCTGTCCTTTCAACAGGGAATGCCACCAGGTACAATATGGTAGCACAATCACCAATCTTTGGTCAAGGCTACACATAATAGGGACCAGAACACACTGGCTCTCCTAGACTGTCTATGGTTAAAATTCACTTTTCTTTTCCTTCTTTTCTCTCTCTCTCTCTCTCTTTTTCCTTTCTTTTTTTTTTGAGACAGGGCCTGTGTAGCCCTGGCTGTCCTTGAACTCACAGAGATCCACCTGCTTCTGTCTCCTGAATGCTGAGATTAAAGGTATATACCACCAATGCCTGTCTTATTTTTTTCTTTAAAAAAAAAATGCTTTTTATTTTCAAAGTTCAATGTCTCGTTAAATCCCAAAACATAATTAGAACAGAAAGAAAAGAACTGCATAAACTTGTATATTTACCAACTGAAAGTTTGCTACAGGCAACTATTTACACACTGGTAACTTATTACTCAGACTGCAAACTTAACCAGAACTTCCTCAAATGAAATACTAACTTACGGCTGATGAACAGCACTGTCGATATTTAAAGTATTCAATGGAACAAGCTTTGTTTTGCTCTCTCTCTCTATTATCTCCTACTACAAAAAAAATTACCCCAAACTTTATGACTTAAGGTAACACACATGCGTTGACTCAAAGGTTCTGCTGTTCGGGAATTTAGAAGCAGCTTAGGGGGTACTTGAGATCGAGGGTCTCGTGTGAGCCTTTTGTCAAGATGCTGGTCCGCGCTACACTCATCTGGAAGCTTCCCTGAGCTGCAGATGGGCCTCCAAGCACAGGCAAGCATCTGTGGACCAAAGTATTCAGTGCCACCCTGGCTGTAGGCCAGGGGCCTCAATTCCGCCCTATGTGGGTCCTTCCAGTGGGCGACCTTAACGTGTGGCAACAGGCTTCGAGAGAGAACGTGACTTGGGAGAGAACTAGTCCAGATGCTGCAATGCCTGCCACCCCAGTTGCAAGGTGGCACCCCATCACCTCTGCCTCCTTTTACAATATATATGGATGGCCCTGGTGTAACACTGAGAGGGGGGATTACAGAGGCCTGAGCACCGGAGGGAGGGCTCCCCTGGGGCCAGCCTGAAGGCTAACTACTGCATTTGTTGATTCATCTATGCTACACTAGTACACGGTACCTGTAAGAGCAAAACCATTGGTTTAACAGCACTTTAACTAGTCTCATAGAAGCATGTTGACAAAAATACTTTAAAGCAACTTCAGAAAGCTCAGAATAATCATTTTTTAAAAAACATTCACTGAGCCGGGCATGGTGGCGCCTGCCTTTCATCCCAGCACTCGGGAAGCAGAGGCAAGTGGATCTGTCAGTTCGAGGCCAGCCCGGTCTACAGAGTGAATTCCAGGACAGAGAAATCCTCTCTGGGGCAGGGGAACAGAAAACATTAATGGAAAATGGACAGCCTATGCTTTAAAATTTTTTTGTTTTCAGTAATGGCCACTTGAAATATTTTATGTGCAAATTTATTGTAAAATCTGAAGCAGCCTTTAGAGGAAAAATGGATTCCTGGTGTATGAACTTCCCCACTCATAGATCTTTTCATCCTATCTGATCTTAGGGGATCTGACAACCACCTACTTCGTCGATTATTCTAACTTATTATGAACCCAGGACGGCAAGCTATAGAAACTTCACCCTATAATTTCTACCTTTTTTTTTTGTTTCTTTGATCTTATCTGCCATTGAAAAACATCTGACATTCTTTCCTTGCACAAAAGGTTAAGATAATTAAAAAAGAGAGAAGTGGGGAGTGGGGGGTGTGCCAACAGCCAAGCCAGCCCCAGGCATGTATTTATAAAGCTGGCGGCCAAACTCCGTCCTTATCTTGCAAAAACAGCCAAAGTTCAGCCTGAAGTTCAAAGACTTCTGGCTGAAATTTTCCCTTTGAAAGCCAATGTATAACCACTTAGCATACAAGAGTCGATTAGCCTGGATGATAAGATCAACCCGGAGCTAACAGTTTTCAGGACTCTCTCATTTAAAGCATTAGTGCTCATTCCCCCAATGCCTTTTAGTGAACGACTTCGAATTTGGTTGATGGCGTCCGGCTAGCACAGGGAGGCTTGCGCAAAAAGGGAAGCAGCTCCCGGCTTCCACTCGGATGCAAACGCCAGCATCATCTCTCGAATGTGGCCTCTTCGTCATGATCATAGCGTATGACAACAAAAGCAAAGCAGAAACGGCAAACTACATGTAGCCCTTTAAAATTCATGCAGCAAGCTCCGTCTATCAGCAATGAAGCTGAAAAAATAAATAAATAACTTACAGCGTGTTCTGTAACACGAAGTGCTAGACCCAGGGGCAGATACTGGGGTGGAAATCCTCAGCCCGAGAGAGAGCTACTTCCTGTATACCCGAACCTACATACCTTTCTGTGCCCTGCCATCTTACTTCCTCTCTCCGCCCAGCTACATCACTTCCTGTCTGTCTGTAGAGCTCTCCAGATTAAAGGCGTGTGCCACCATGCCTGGCTCTGTTCCCAGTGTGGCCCTGAACTCATATAGATCTGGATGGATCTCTGCCTCCCGAACCGCTAGGATTAAAGGCGTGTGCTATCACTGCCTGACCTCTATGTTTAATCTAGTGGCTGGCTTTGTCCTTTGATCCCCAGGCAAGCTTTATTTGTTAGAGCACCAATAAAATACCACCACATTGTTCCTTGTTGTGCCAATAATCAACGTGTCCATCAGTTGATGGAAGTTCTTATTTGTCTGAGAGATGACCTTCCTGAACACAGTCTTGTTTCTAATAACATGCAACACCCCCACGGTTCCTTTACCAGTATACACACTACACAGATCTGACTAGTCTATACCTTATGCACAGATGATCCCTTTAGCATTGTCACATTTATTTGTTCACTTTTTAAAATTGAGATAGAGTCTCTCCGTTTGCCCGGAGCTCACAAAATAGAGAAGGCTTAGCAATCTCCAGGACCCACTTGTCTGTGCACCCGAAGTACAGGGATGACAGAGGCAGGCTCTGGATGCCATGGCTGATTTTTTTATGTGGGCTCTGAGGATCAAACTCGGGTCTTTGAAATCTAGGGCAGAGTCATTCCTCCAGCTCTGTCCTGGTTTTAACATTGGCAACCTGAAGAAAGACTTGGTAAGCAACTCACTAAAAGCACTAATTAATGATTATGATAATACCAATGAAGCCAAATGCATTCTATCAGTCAATTTATGTTGAACATATTTATGTCCTGCATTAAAATACCACGTAAATTTTAATGCTTACACTATTTCACTAGCCAGTATGTCTTTGCAAGCAATGCACTTCTCCGTCACTGTGGCTAGAGCCTGAACTCAGCTATATTGAGAAATGACACTTCTCAACCAGACTCGTGAAGCTGCTCCTGTACCTTATTGGAATGACTTCTACTGTTACCGTTCAATTTTCTACTACTATCACAATCAGATAAAGTGTTTGTCCTCATCAAAAAAAAAAAAGTCCAGTAAAGCTTGCCTAGTTGTTAGTAAATTAGAATCCAAGATGAATACAAATTTCCTAAGATTTAGGAAACATTTTGAAAAGCAGAAACTTAAAATAATGACAGTACATTTAAATTTATTTTGGTAGTCAATTCTATATTTAAATTATTTTATTTGTGGAACACAAATCTGACTGACATTAACACAGTGTTTTTAAGCGTAATAAATGTTTGCACCTTCCTCAATTCTTACACATTTTTGGAGTCACAAATGACTGATACAAACGTACCATATGTTTTAACAGCCTCCTTGTGCCCGACTAACAGGCAACTTCCCACAGTCCTTGTCCCAATCTACACACTATGCAAAAATGACCTATCTATACCTATGCACAGATCTGAACAGTATACTCTATACACAGATCTGAATAGTATACTTTCTGCACAGATCTGAACAGTATACTCTATACACAGATCTGAACAGT